ATTAGAAAATCGCATTTTGAATCCCCTCTGGTATTCTTCCAATAATCCAATGGAGTAGTATTGCTTTGCTTATATACGGGTCCTTTGGTTGAGCTGTTGTAACGAAATAATCCAAAGCAGCTGAAGCAATCAATGAAAATTTTCCACAGGCAGATGCTGAAACGGCCGTTGCACTCATTATAAAATCTATTGATTCTGCCGATAGAAGCACATTCATGGTTCAGCCACATTGGCAAAAGGAAATTGCAAAAGGCTAAAGTTTCAAAGGAAAGATGAAATGGAAGGAAAAGAATGTTGGGATTTAAAGACGGAAATTGCAAGAGAATCGCGGACGTTAGAGATAAAATTGGAACTGGAAGGAGAGTGATGGCGAGAGAATGTTAGTTTGACTTTGGATTTGTATGGTTGCGGTGATTAACTTTACGGTTTTACCAACTAAAGCTTGAAAGTCTCTTGGATTGTTTCTCAACGGATTCCGATTTTATATGCTGCACTTTTCGTTTCTCAATGCATCCCGATTTATATGCAGCATTTTTCACTGCTCGGCTCCCATCTTTGAATTTATCCTTAATAAAAATCTCGAATTTTTTATGAATAATTTGGATTTAAGAGACACCTGGCCTTCTCGACTTAGTGGCTTTGCCACTTAATAGATACACTTCCCAACTCCTTAAATTGGATTTGATTTCTCTCACCCCAATTTGTAATATGTTCAAAAAAAACAAAAAAACTTGGATTTTAGAGGATTTGATTATGACTCTTTGTATTTTTAAAACTCATCAAGTATTCTTTCATTAGATTAACATACTAATTGTTACCAACGACCTGTTGGGTCGAGTGGAAGGAGTTCGGTTTCCCTTAAGTAAGGTCTCGAGTTCGAGTTTTGTGAATGGAGAAACAGACGCTGGGAGAGTTTCCCCCCTAATGGGGTCCGACGCGGCTCAATTCCAAATTAGTCAGGACCCAAAGTGGTTACCGGACACTGGAAGGTTAATACCAAAAAAAAAAAACATACTAATTGTTTTGTGCATTCCAACTATCTCAAATTCTTTTAGATTAGGGTACAAAATTTTTTACAAAAAAGATTAAAAATAATGTTTTTATATAATTTTTTATACAACTTTTTATTTTATTTAATAATTAAAATTTTTTACTTTATTAAAATTTATAATATTACATATTATATTTATTTAATAATATGTAAAAATTATATAAAAAAAAAAATTGATTGATACTATTACCCAAAAATTGATCATCAAATGAGAGAATCCTCTCCCTTTTTGCTGATCTTTGTTGACCACGATTTTGGAGTCCAGCATAAATTGCAAAACCACAAAAAGAAGCCATCGACTAAAAATTAATTACAGCTAGGGTTAACTAGTAAGTACTGTAGTATTATTGTTGTTTATTGCTTTTGTTT